GCCCCTGTCTTCACGGGAAGAGCTGCTCCCACCCTCGGGCCTCCAAGTGGAGCGGGTGGAGGAGAGCGGGGTGTCAGTCTCCTGGCTCCCGCCCGAGGGCCTGGCCGCCCGGCGGCTGCTGGACGGCTACGCGGTCACCTACACCTCGGCTGACGGCGCCTTCCGCCGCACGGACTTCGTGGACCGCGGCCGCTCGACCCACCAGCTGCGGGCCCTGGCGGCCGGCCGGGCCTACAGCATCTCGGTGTTCTCGGTCAAGCGCAACGCCAACAACAAGAACGACATCAGCCGGCCGGTGGCGCTGCTCGTGCGCACGCGTGAGTCCTGGGGGGTTGAGTGGTGAGGGGCGGGAGGGACAAAGCTCTGTCACCACACCCCCAGCCAGGTCTCTAGGAGGAGGTGGGGCCAAGGTGAGGAGGAGGCTGAGCTCAGGGCGGCCCACCCATGGGAGTCTCTCCCCTGGGGCCTAGCATGGCCCGTTAGTCCAGACCACAGCTGAAGCCCACGTGTAGCTTGAAGGAAGCAGCCAGCCAGGGCCCCTGGAGGAGGGTATCCCTGGGTTGCTGCCGCTCTGCCCAGCCCCAAGCTGGCCTCCCTTGAGCAGCCTGTGTCCACCAGGTCCCCGTCCCGTCGAGGGCTTGGAGGTCACCAACGTGACCGCCAGCACCATCTCTGTGCGCTGGGCTCTGCACCAGATCCGCCACGCCACTGTCAGCAAGGTTCGCGTGTTGATCCAGCACTCCAAGGCCGCCGGGGCTGGGGAGGAGGCCACCGACCTGGACAGGAATGTGGACAAGTTCACCTTCAGGTGAGAGGCAGCCCAGATATGGCCCGGCCACCCCCCACCACCACCACTTGCATCTGTATGCCCACTCTCCCCTAGCCCCACTTTGAGGAGGCGCGTTGTGCGCCTGGTGGGGTTGGGAAGGGATGTGTGAGTGCCACAGGGGTCCAGGGGGTCTCGCCCTCACTGGTCTGGGGCCAAGAGGTGCAAGTGAGGAACCGTGTTCAAATGCTTCGCTGTGAGCAGGCTGCACTGAAGGGCTCCGTCCCGCAGGTCATGGGGCTGTAGGCCTGTACAGGCCTTTGGCAGGGCCAGCCATCAGGATCACATACAAGTGGAATGTTGCTGAAGGTCCTTTAAAAATGGCTGTAGGGGCCACACTATCATCCGTCATCGAAGGATTAGAATCCATATAATCTGAAGTCAGAGGAGGGATCAGTGTCAGCCTAAATCATGACAATCCGGTGTGCAGAAGGCGATGGATGACAGTGGAAGCCCAGGATTCATTTGTGGAAGACATAAGAAATAAGCCTCCGGAGAACTCCCCCTATCTAAAATTGAGGGATGGAAGGAGTGTGGTCACTAAACAGAGCACTTGGGAGAGAGAAGTATAGAAGATCAAAGGCATGAACCTGACCTGAACAGTTAAATCTTTGTCAAGTGATTCCCCCCTATGATGCAGGTTGGACCTCATCTGGTTCACAAAGTTTCTGTATTTTCGGTTTGCATTGCTTTGTTTGGTTTTTGTTTGTTCATATTAGGGTGTATCTCAGAGGTGTTTTGTCGCCCTCTGTGTTACATGCTTTTCTGGTGTTTGGTAGATGAAACCCAGGATTGATGAACCGATAGGAACAGTAAGTAGAATAAGGGATTTGGGGTTTGGGGGATACAGAGGTGGTGGTGGGGTAAAAGGGAGACATGTCAGGAATCCAGGTAGAAAAGGAATGTTTAGAAACTGATTGTGGTAACAATTGTACAATTCTACTTGACATGATTAAAATAAGGGATGATATGATCTGATATATGTTATTAAATCCCCAACTTAAAAAAAATGGCTGTAGGGATATGTATTAGTCTAGGTACTTTAGAGAAACAAATCCACAGCAACTCATGGATAAGAGAGTTTTATGTCAAAAAAAGTGCGCATCACGAAAACATCCCAACCCAATGCTGGCCAAGCCCACAAGTCCAACATTAACCCATTAACCCAACACCAGTCCACAAAGTCCTCCACCTCACAAAACAGAG